TGATTACTATACCTTTCTAATGTGACGTTGTTGTCCCTGGCTCTCTTTCTCTCTCTCTCCCTCCCGCTCTGTTCCTGTGCTACTGTGAGTGTAACTACCGCCCCTCCCCCCTCTGCCCAGCGCAAAGCACAAGGTGAAGCGAAAAAAAGTGCAAGAGAGAGGGCGAGAGAAAGAAAAGAAAAAAAAACACAGCTCGCGATAAGGAGTCGGTTTGCGCCGTTCACGTCAAAGAATCGGCTCTAAGAGCCGTTTCGTTCGCCACCAACACATCACTAAGAAGAAGAATTAGAAGCGCTGGATTGACCCTCTTGTTTTCTACTCGGACAGTTAAGCGTAGAAAGCAGAGCTAAAAACGGAGGAGCCCTTCTGGCATTAAAACAAACAACCGCACTAAAGCATTTAAAGCTAAGTTAGCAGTTTGACAGCTAGCCGGGCAGCGGATACGAGCCGCGAGCCAACATGGACTCTTGGGTTCGCTTTAATGCCCAGAGCCAAGCCAAGGAGAGAGTTTTCAGGTGACGTTACTGACGTTTGGCACGCTGCTGGTTGAGACGCGGGGTTCGTCGTGCTTGTTCATTCCTGCTAATGTGATAAAACCGTCGGCTGGATGTTGCAGACTGAGTTCCGTGTTTGAAGCGGAACTTTTATCGGCTCAGTAGGAGCAGCTCTCCCTGCGCTGGTTTCAAATCAAGCGGCCTTATGATGCCAGCTGCAGCTGCACAGAGTAGTTAAGTTTGTTAAGCGCACTGACGTGACGTGTGTCTGTTGATAATGACTGTACGTTGTGCGTTCACAGGGCTGCACAGTATGCTTGCGCGCTGCTCGGATCCACTCTGCAAAATGACGAAGCAGCTGAGATCCGCAGAACTGTCAGTCAGCTGGAGGCACACATGAGTCTGACAAGAAAGTGTGAGTAAAACAGCCAGAGCGAGTCTGAGTCGTTTCCACGTACCAAAGCTTAAGTGGGACTGCTGTCGGTTCTTCCACAGTGCTACGCCTGGGCAACTCCGTGGAGGCCCTGGAGGCCGCCAAAAGGTCCATACACCTTTCTGACAGCGTGCTGCGGCTGTGCCTGACCATCAGTCACCTCAACAGAGCCATGTACTTTGCCTGCGACAATGTGCTGTGGGCGGGAAAAACCGGTCTCATCTCCGAACTCGACCAGCACAAGTGGAGTCAGAGATCTTTCAGGTGTGTGAGGAATACATAAGAAATACATGTTTAAACAGTGTCATGTTGCTCCACAGATCAAACTATATGTACATCTACTGAATTCTAACTGATCGCATTGAGGGCCTAAAAATCCTCCATGTCGTTCATTAGCAA